TTCTGGTTTGTTAATATAATTTAAACTTTATCCTGTTGGTATATCGTTGAAAGTTCAATACCGTCAATATCATTATTACAAGTTACGTTTTGATATATTGAAATTTCTATCAATGTGCTACCATCTACCGATTAATTGCTGAACCACGACGAATTGGAGTTATTAATTTAGTTCTCCATACAAGAAGTTTACTTTCGTTTCTTGTAACAAAAAAAAATTCGATAAGTAGATAATAATCTCAATACAGAGTACTAAAAAAACCGACCTCAAAAGTACGTGGAATTACGCCTATTTGCTAAGTTTCATTGAAATATCCCCTAGTTCGCTACTACACAGGACTTGATACTGGAGATAATAAAAATAGGTTCTCACTACGACACTACTCAAAGTATATCGAGGGAAAAACGCCTTGAATTGGATAAATAGCAAAATCAACTAAATAATTGCTAAAAGTAATTGCTCCTAAATTAAAGTTAGGCGCTAGTCATAAAAATGAATCTTCATGCGTGAACAGCCACCCTTAGAGGTGGATGATTTCCTTCAAAATAAAATGGGACCACTACGGAAGTACTCCCTTTCCAACAAAAAAAGAATCATGAAAATCGGTTCATAAATACCGGAGTTATCGCGTAACATACATACAAAAAAAAAGAAAAAAAAAGAACATACAGTCGAATTGATAACCTCCTCCTTTTTTGAAGTCGGTTAAAAATTGATTCATATAAGACTATCCAGTGATATAATAAAATACCTAAATATTACACGGTTAATATTTATCATTTTTGCACTCCAAAACAGCACGATAAGGCAATTTTTTAGAATTTTAGAGAATTTGCACGAAAGAATGACGTTCTGTCCATACCATGCAAACGAAAATGGCAGTTGACACGCGTCTGACGCTAACTAACCTAACTATTGTTCTGTGGTTACAACTGTATTGGCAACGATCACAGTTTCGCTCTCTTGGTATTCATTATTTTCAAAGAGCATAGAGATCGTGCACGTGGTGGTAAGCGAAATAGTAAATATTGCTTGTAAATAGTAGTTGCAGTCCCAGTCAAAGCTTTAAATTGCAAATATTTGAGGAGAACTGCCACTGGGCCCATCGTTTTGGGACATACGTTGACAAATCCAATGTGCCTGTAATTTCACCAGCAGCCTTACTCTTCCAAACCGAAACACAGTAATGTCCACATTACTGCTTGGCGGCAGAAATAGGTAAGGAGGCAGTACTTCCCTAGACAAAATCTTTCAAAACGAGCCCTACTGCTATTAAATGTGGTGAGTGAATTATATTTACGGCCGATTCAAGTAACATAAAAAAGACTGTGCCACCGCGTTACCAACTGAACTAGAGATCGAGTCAGCAAACTTAATTTTTTTAAGTGTTTGTTGCGGATCTTTTTTATTGATTTTCGGTTTTGTTCTAAAGAAATTTCCTTCGTGTTCGACTTTTGTATTAATAATTACAACAAACTGGTGGAGTAATATCACAAAAAATTAAAAAAAAATCGTCATGATATTCAATAAAAAAATCAACATCAAAAAGATCACTATCACAAACTGGGAAAACAAATAGCTGTTAAAAATATCAATCATATGAATCCCAGTTATCAGCATGCTTCAGCTTCTACGGAGCTTCGTCAGCGTACATAGTTCCAAAGACTACTTACTAATTTTCTGCGACTTTCCACTCCCACGTCGAGGTTCATCCCAGTTCAAATGTAAAGCATTTTTATGAGACGTGATTCTTAATACTGGAGGCTCAGGAGTCGGTAGCACTGATACATCGTAAGATACTGAATCTGAACCGTAGAGATTTTTAGCTAAGCAAGTGTAGTTACCGCTGAGTGACAAGTCGATATCTGAAAAGAAGACCATAACCGACTAAAGAAAATACAATATTAAATTCAACTAGAGCGTTATTTACCAAAACCAACCAAGTAATTGTTTCACTAAACGTTTAGTATCAAAGCCAACGTAGCCTAATCCTGTAGCCTGATTAAAGGTAACCGGATACTGGGAAAGTATTTCATTGGAATGAAATACGATATAAACAAAATTCAAATAAATACAAAACTAAAATCAACAATACACTCCGTTGCTAGGTAGAAATCTTTAAGGTGCCCACCTTGGGGTTTCAGGATAAAATTATATCTATACAAAGAGAATGCTTATAATTATATAAGGGTAGAAAGAATCACACCATAAAATCTGACAGATTTGTAGAGGTCACTCCGTGTTCATACATAGTCATATAAATACTTCATCCATGATGAATCCATGATAAATCATAATTGATATGATTGCATTATCAAATTAAAAACAACTCGTAGCTTACTGTTTATTAAAAGACTGTCATCATGGTTTCTGGTGAACCTGGGATGATGAGTGATGATATTATGCTTGTGGTACCATACGGTCCTCGGTGGAGGCACTCCAACGCATTGGCAGACTAGAAGAAGGGAACTCCCAACTCCCACTGATATGGGGCCTCCAAGAGAAGACACGCCGGCGACAACTAGAAATGAAGGAAAGCATAATTAAAAAATGACGGGCGAGATGTTTCAATAAATCAATCTCATTTATAATAACATTATGATTGTAATTACTGTGCTTATTCGCTTAGATTTCACGAATGTTATAACGCAAAATAAAAAGTGAAGCAAGTCACCTACAATCCTAGCACACTGCAGGCCTACTGTGTAACTGTCGTTTCCAAAGTGTCAAATAACTTGTCTATTAATTTCAATTATAAATCAAATAGTATTTATCGTTTCACTTGTCAACAATTGACTAATTTGGTGGACACTTTTTTCAATCAACTTCCTGTTTGTTTATCGTCAGGAAAATCTTATTGAAATTATCCCGTGCACAGCGAGACATAACTGTTACGTAAACTGTCTCTCCTCCCGCACCGCGCAGCTACCTCAGGAACCGACTCAATTAAGCGGTAGAACAATTCACACATACATATACGAGGTGTGGCAGAAAAGTAATGAGACTGATTTTTTATTTACCAAAGTTTTTATTTTTTCTAAACATCAATGTTATCTCCTTCAAAGTATTTCCCTTGGGCAGCTACACACCGATGGAGACGTAGTTCCCATTGTTGGTAGCAGCGCTGGAAGTCTTCAGCCGGTACAGTCTTCAGCATGTACGTCACACTCGTTTGGAAGTTTGGATGTCTTTTGAAAGTCACAGGGACTGAGGTCAGGTGAATAGGTGGGCTGGGGTCCTTGAAAATCTCAGAAAAAAGGTCATTCGCGTGAGATCAGACATTGCAGACAAATAGATGCTCCATCATGACAACACCCCATGCCACACTGTCCCCTCCATAACATAATTTTTGAAAAAGGCCTCAAAAGGCATTCCTGTGGTTCCCCAGCCCCTCTATTCACCTGACCTCAGTCCCTGTGACTGTTACCTTTTTTCTAAACTGAAAAATGTTCTCAAAGGACGTCATTTCGGAGCTTTGGAAAACATCCAAAAGAGTGTGACGGACATGCTGAAGATCATACCGGTTGAAGACTTCCAGCGCTGCTACCAACAATGGGAACAACGTCTCCATCGGTGTGTAGCTGCCTAAGGGAACTACTTTGAAAGGGATAACATTGATGTTTAGAAGAAATAAATACTTAGATAAATAAAAAATCAGTCTCATTACTTTTCTGCCACACTTCGTAACTTAGTCGCCACTGTAAGTAGAATATTATACTCTATCATCATTATACTTTAAAGACGATTATACGTCATCTTCATTTAACATCAAGACCTAACCTTTAGCTGTCAGTTCAATATGAACACGATTACTCGGTGCGCCCTCTCCAGCCACCGTGTGAGCCCTGACAAAGACTTCATATTGTCTCCCTGTGAACAGTCCTGATACTGGAACCGATAGTTGACGAGATGGATTTGATTCTTGTGTCGGTTCTACACGGTAAGTTTGTGGTGAGCTTGTACTGAAATAAATGAAGAGATGTCAGATAATTATTTTCTTCAAAATATTGTGCTAATTGCTATGAGCTGACAAAGTTTTCTTACTGCGCTTTGAAAGTTTATTTCCATGACAAAATACCATATTCCCAAAAACGCCATTTTGACTGTTACTTTTAGAGTAATACTGGCTGGTTGACGGACTGACGGACAAATGGGTTCGTGTTCTTTTGTTTAACTAATTACGTTACGTATTATGAACGACTTATAAGGTCAATAAAGGAAGCCTCAACCGGAACTATTTGCTTTGCTGCCTAGGAGCTACGTTTGATTCCATGTAGATAATTTCACAACCAAATAAAGTAACGGGGATAAACGCGACGAAATAAGAGTGAGTCAGCCCGTGACCAGGGTCAGTGCAAATTGACCAAAACGTCGTGACTATAGATAGGCGTCCAAATATCTGTACAATTTTATAGCATTTATACCCGTTTGTAACGTCGTTATAATGCAACGTAACAGTTTAAAAACAAATAACGTCAAATAACTTCAAACAGTTAATTTAAATTGCGGTCGTCTGTCTATACAGAATCCGCCTATATAAATGTTATTTTGCCGCAAAGCAACGTTGTTGTGTTTTATATCTTGTAGTCAGCAGCATTAATGGAATATTCTATTATATTATAATTCCTTTTCGTGAGTGGCTTAAAGAGATAGTTGCTATTTTCTATCAGGTGGAATGTCAAACTATTTGAAATGCTTATAAGAAAAAGAAGAATGATTTACCTTGAAACTGGCTTGACATAAATAGTATAGTGAGAAATTTCACCATTGGGTTCATTCGGTCTCTTCCAACTAATAAGAATTGAAGTGCTTGATGAAACTAGAACTTTAATTGCTGCCGGTGGACCTGGCACTGAAACAGCCAAAGTCGGTACATCAGAACTTAGAAGAAATGGTTGTGACTCTTTAGTACGAATAATTAAGAAACTCTTGAAATTCAAAGAATTTAGAACTACTTTATTTGCATAAATGAATATTATTTTTTAAAAAGAACTTAGAGTTACATATAAAAACAACTTTAATGTTAGTGCTAGGGCTACATGGATAATAACTGGGAGTCTGTGGTAAGGAACTCAAAATGATCGCACTGTTCCCTCTTTGTAGTAATTACAAATTTTTCACACATTATTTTTAAAACGTAATTTGATCTCATTTGATATAGTGGGTACGAAAAAAAATTTAATGAACACCGGGGTGAAATAAAGTTTTACTTACTAGCTGTCGGTTTATAAATAGTTTGATTTTTGAATAATTACCGTCTTGCAATGTAGTGCAAACAACGGGATAAGAAAATGGTCCCAATCCATAGTTAGAATATCCAGCAACTTTAATTGTGTAGTTTGTATATTTGAGTAAAGGTTGAAGATATATCTCTGTATGTAGAGAAGATGTATTTTGCCATGCTCCATCTGAAAACGTATGAAAAACAATCTTCAGCAATCTCGTTTAAGAAATTTTTAATTGCAACACAAAATAATGGAGGAACTAATAGCGCCTTGTAGAACCCTCACTTCAAAAATATTTATAGTGTCAGTGAAGTACAAGAAATTATATTAATTTGTTATTTAATCTCATTTCCTAACGTAATATGGATCTGGAAATCGAAATTTATTAAAATAACTAAAAAAATAACGAAAATAATCTTCATCTACATAATCAAAAGCTTCTCTAACCTTCTGTGCTGTAGTAAATTGAGTACCCTAGTAGTGAACTTCCATGGGAAGAGATGGGTTGCCAAGCTATACGAAGTGATGTTGAAGAAACACCACGACACTCAACTGCTGATGGAGGGTGCTCAGGAGCTGAAAGTTTAAATAAATATAGCATTTAGTTACCCTTACAGACGTAGAATTAAAACAATATATACATATTATTACATAGTATATTTGTAAAAAACTTGTCACATATTTAAAGTATTTTTAAGTAAAAACTTACTTAAACTTTTCTTTATTTGTAAATATCTAAACAGTGAAAAGTCATTTAAAATTAAGTATACCCACCACCTTCTCTCGTAGTTTGATACACTGGTAATGAATAAGGTCCATTTCCAGCTGAATTGAAGGCACTGACTGACACAGCATACCTGAAGTTTTTCATAGAAAATATCAATATTCATTTTGTATGCACTAACTGAACTAACTAACTGCCCTTCCTTACCTAGTATTTTTCAACAGACCACTAAGTGTTGTCTCTTGTTTCCCTTTTCTTGCCATAACTTTCAATATTTTTGTTTGAGTGTCGTTAGGATCTGAAAATTATAAAGTGCTTCTTGACATTACAATTCATCTTTTTACGGAGTCACAATCAGACTTCTAACTTTAATGATAAAGTGTTCTCGAAATTGAAACAGGGAAGAATATTAAATAGCTCTTTCCTGTCACTGCCTATTTACATAAATTTAAATGTTTAAATGAAAGCTGACCTGATTTTTCGCTAATTCTCGGCACGGCTTTAACGTGATATCCCTGTAGTAGTCCATTGCGACTGTCTCTGGGTGGTGGCAACCACGAGACTATCAGCTCGCCAGGACTCTCTGATTGTACCACTTGTACTCCTAAAGGCGTTGAGGAGGGTGCTGAAAGGTTAGACCACAAAAACTTTTAGACTTTTAGGCTCGGTGACTGCTTATGCATTCAGGAGTCTGAACTTAATGTTTAAAATATTCAGGTTCGATTTTCCGTGGAACTTATATAGAAAACGTGTTTCTGAATGAATGGTTTAGTAAATGATTTAACTGCATCCGTGTCCGAACGGTTACTATGCTGCGCTGCTATGTAGTGTACTTATTTCTCTTGTAACTTTGGGTGTAATTTGTGGTTATCTGTCTATGTGTATATCTATGGTACCCACCACACAGGGTTTCCCTAGTGCGAGGCTACGTAATTACTGTCATGGTTTTGTGTTTATATTTTCTAACATATTTATTCGAAATATGTTAGCAGCTGAACGTTTTCCTCAAAATAAAAGTATGATGTTTTTCGTCGCCATCTATATTTATGATCAAATATTATCTGCCAAATATATATAATAGCATAGTTGTGATTGTCTCACCTTCTTGTTGGGTTGTGAAATGAATAGCTTGTGTAAAAGGACTCAAGTCCACCTGATTGCCTGACGCAACTCGAACTCTGTAGTCTAAAGCCGGTTGCAAATCTCGCAACTCTATGCTTTGCCTATGATCGCTGTCTTGTCTATAAATAAAAATGACGTTAAATTACTGTAAAAAGTATTTATTATTATACCACCAAAATATCACATAAACTTATTATAGTTTACTTCAAGGCTTCAGGTCATTTCAAATGAAAAGAAAAGAAAACTGGACATGAAACGTTTGCTTGTATAGCCCCTAATAATAATATGACAATTTTAAAGGTCATACAGAAGTTTTACAAGGCAGTTTTTTGGGACTAATAAATAAATTTGAATACAAAACGTACCCTGTAGAATACCTTTTATTAAATAATGTGAAATGCCGTGTATTTTCTTCTAAGTCACACCTTTAATCTTACCTTGTAATATTAATGCTCTTTGCAGCGTCCCATAGATTGAAATCATTGCTAGTATATTGCACGGTGTAGTATTGAACGTGAGCACTGATAGTATCTCTCCAAGAAAGTTTCGCTGAGTTGCTGGTAACTGAATCTAGTTGTAAATCCAATGGAGGTGTAGGGGGTTCTAGAAAAACATTTAAAAAAGACGTATGAGTATAAAATTGTATACAGTTGCAGATAAAATTATTCCCAAGTTTGTAGGTATTAGTAAAAAAAATGTATTTAAAATATTTGCATCCTTTGCTTATGGCGTGTTTACACAGGGAAATCGAGTATACCTATAACCAGAAATAGAGACGAAATAAGGGTCATATATTCCTGGTAACACATTAGTGATACAGCTCTTATAAATATCAACTCTCGTTTGTACTGAAATACAGACAGGCCAACTACTGACCTGTGTGTACGTCTCCGTATATTCCAAAAAATATTCTGTATTTATTGTAATAAAGATAATATCTCTAACAATGCCGTGCTGTTCTATTCGGTGGTGTGGGAAAAACAGCAAAACATCTAATTACAAAACAAACGGAATCACATTTCATCGGTAATTAAATATTAAATATGTAATTTTACAATTTTCGTCAGCAAAGCTCAAGTTAACTGGTCGATTTGAAGTGAAACAGTTGACGACACCCATTGACGACACCCGTCAATTGTTTCGAACTTGGGCTAGCCAATCGGAGAGCAGTTGTTACAGTAATGATATGGCAGAATAGTTTTCAAACAAATTAAATGACATTTCGTCTCTATTTCTGGTTATATACTCGATGCACAGGGTCAACTGCCGCCTTCGGCAGACTATGTACTTGGCCCTTTATACGTCTTCGGTAAGGCGAATTCGCTGATAAGGCGGCAAAGTCGACGCGTTGTTTACACCGTGACCATTGCCGCCTTCGCCGAAATTTCGTCATTATAAATACGAGATCAGAAACACAACAAATCGTTCGAAATATTCAACAAACTGATCGGATAGGTAGGTATTTCCTGGCCCTATGCAATTTCATCGTGGTGGGATGTGACCATCGACACGTTAAAATTTGTTGGTCGACCATTGCTTGCTGAAGGCAACCAAGTCGCCTGACAGTTTTACCTGGCCAACCCGTCATCAAACAGCTCAATGTTTTTTGGGAACACAAAGGCGACAATGTATGTATAAATGAGTAAATGTAAATAGTAGATGCATCATTTGTACTGGATACTTGTTTTCGTTACGACCTGTTTTACCGTAGCATAATGTGGAAAGTGATTCTTATTCGCTGGAGATATCTATATAATGTCCAGATCTACAATCAACAGCAGCGTCGTTCATATTGTCAGTGGTATAGAGTTCAATTTATGGATCTTGAACGGCAAGCAGGCTGTTTAATGCACGTTATTAAAATGTATTTTAGAGAAGAGCATATTGTCGTCGTGAGTAGGTACCTTATAATTATAATAAATTTTGGTTTAAAAGCAATAATATATTACCCAGGATATTTAAAAAAATATTATAAGCAGCTACTCCGTAAGGGTTGCTAGCTCTGCACTCGTAGCTCCCACCGTCTCTACTTTCCACGTAGCTGATGCTGACCACACTTTTAAGACCATTGTGCGTAATGGTTTCTGATATTGTCATTCTGAAAAAAAAAAATTATTTATAAAGACAACAAAATGCAAAAAATATTGCAATTTGTTTGTGGGGAAAGATAACTAGTACACTTAAGTATATTATGGACTTTACGTTACGTAGTACAAGAAATTCCGCGAAAAGCTACCTTTATCTCTGTATCCACACAAATATTATTAATAAAGTATACAAGTTAAACATAACTATGGCGGCGGTTGTAAGTTTTTATCTGCTACAATACCCCCTATACACAACAGTGTACTCCAAAAGTTTCCATCAGTCGTCGAGACCAATTCAAAAAGCCCAAACACGATTTTTCTGCTGCGAATAGTTGCGGAATTGAGCTGCCTGCAAACTATCCTGGTAGTGCTAGTACCAGGACATCACAGCGACAGTTGGTTGTCGCTAGCGACCGCGTAAATTGTCAAGTAATTTTTTAAAATTATGAATGGCGACAGTTTTGAATGGCAAATTATACAGCACCTCTAGCGGTCACAAAAAGAAACAACATTTTGTATACTAAATATTTTACGCGTTTGCTGGCGATAAATGTCACTGCAATCTCATGGTATAGGCGTAGTACCAAGAGATTACAGTGACAGTTGTTGCTAGCGACCGCCTCAAATACTTGACAATTTTGTATGGCAAATTATACAGCGCCCCTAGCGGTCGTAAAAAGAAATAACATTTCGTATACTAAATATTTTACGCGGTCGCTAGCGATAAATGTCAATGCAATCTCATGGTAGAGGCATAGTACCAAGAGATTACAGTGACAGTTGTTGCTAGCGACCGCGTCAAATACTTGACCATTTTGTAGGCAAATTGTACAGTACCTCGAGCGGTCACAAGAGGAAACTACATTTTGTATACAAACATTTTAAACGTTCGTGAAACGCGCGATTGCATCGCTACACTTGCGATTGATGCAAACGCGCGACGCATCAATACATACGCGAGATTGCATCGATACAAACGCGCGATTACATCGATGCAATCGTCTATAAGTCCCAAGTGTAGCGATGCAATAGCGCGTTTGTATGGCCGTTATCGATGCAGTCGCGCGCTTCCATCGCGTTTGCTTCGCTGTTTAAAATCGCGAATCGTAATCGTTCTTACGTGGTCGCTAGCTATATATATGTTACTGTAATCTCATGGTA